TTCACAGGGTCTAGAGTTGAGGGTGTTAGAGTTAAGGTTTAGGGTTTAGGGTTTAGAGTTTAGAGTTTAGGGTTTCGGAAAACTTGCAAGAGGACTATGTTCCCATCCATCTCAGTACCTGTGTGAGACAAATGTATGATGGATGTGTGTAGTGTATGCCCGCCTGCATCTATGACATTTTGCTTACATATGCATGTTGCATTCATGTATGCAGACTTGTATGTATATGTGTACATATACACATAAACAAAACTTACAACCCTGTATCCCTGCAACTCTGCCAGAACAAGCCTCAATCTCAAGCCCTGTGCTGTAGCTGCAATCCCTAGGCCGCGCACTCTGAATCGGAGGCCCGAAGCAACACTCCCAGATCTTCCAAAATCCTCTTCATAAACAAGGTACTGTACCCTAAACTAGATTAGAGCATACTGTACCCTAAATTAGACTGTAGAACCCGTAATATTATTTTAGGGAGGGTATCTTGGAAGATACGGGCTGTTTGGATGCCAAAGCATACAAGTTGGGCACACACCCTCAGGACTTAGGATAAGAAGCACGGATGGCCGCTTCGAGGCCCAAGGGACTTAGTAAGTCGGTGATAAGTAGGGTTATGATTGGGCTAACCCCATGTAGGGTACTTCCACCTCTACTTGTAATCTACTTAACTTAGTCAGTCGGTTATAAGTAGGGTTATGCTTGGGGTAGCTCCATGTAGGGTACTTAGAACTCTACTTAGAATCTACTCACTGAGTCTCCCCTGGGACCTCCAAGCGGTGCTTGTGAGGTTTCTTGGGGAATCCTGGCACCGGGAAGACAGTGGTTGCCCGCATCGTGGGAGAGATGATGGCCAGCTGACTCACATTTTAGGGTTTAGGGTTTAGGGTTTAGGGTTTAGGGGTTAAAGTTTAGGGTTTAGGGTTTAGGGTTTAGGGTTTAAAGTTTAGGGTTTAGGGTTTAGGGTTTAGACATCAGTAAGAACATAAGTGATAGTCTTCATGATAATCGTGATAGTAGTAGCAGTGATAATCATGGTGAGTATGAGAATAATGATAAGAGTATCAGCAGTCATAATATTAACAAGAATGCGAAATACCATTGGTAATAACAGTGTTATTCATGATAATGACAGTTATGACACGCATAATAACAACAATAATCAGAATAAAAGTCAATAAGACTAAGACTAAGACTTGGAATAGCACATACACCGCGCCAAAAGACTAGGCAGCTGTATTCGTTTCGAACCGCCGAATCTGGCAACCCCGTCAGAAGAGCAATGAGGACATGCAATGTGACTGTTCAGGGTTTAGGTGGCGTAGTACTTGGATCAAGGGTTTTCAGAGTTCCTTGGCAACTGCGCCTAAGCAGAGGGAAGATTTCCAACTTGACCCTGTGCAAATTTTGCTACTAATTAAGCAGCAGAGCGCGTGTCTCTGCGGCTGTGTATGCTTACTTATCTTTCAGCCTCACGATGTTATGATAATATGTATATGTTGGTGTACAGTGCAGTAGTGTGTGTGTGTGTGTGCGTGTGCGTGTCTCTCTCTGTGTGTGTACGTTTTGTTTTCTTGGGGAGGAGTTCTGGCTGCATGATTCTGTCACGAAGCCGATATTTCTATTGAGAGCAATAGTAGTGAAACACGACAGCGCTGTCAGCGACACCATGAAGAATGCTATGCGAACATTACTATGTGTCTACACATCTCACTCCTGAGGTGAAGATGGGTGTGGTGGCCATGCCAGAGGAGCAGCAGAAAAAGCTGGAGGCAGAGGTGCCTCCTCCACAACCTGGACTTCAGAGTCTCGGAGCTTGGAGTTACAAGTGTCGGAGCCTACGGACGACGACGATGTAATTGTTGTTAGGGACGAATCCATAAGCCGTAGCTCGTAAAACCTTAGATGCATGACTCCCTCTTGTAGGGTTGCTGTTTAGCCAGAAGCCTCAAGCCTGAGGTTGTGGCGGAAGTATCAGCTTAGGGTTTAGGGTTCAGGGTTCAGGATTTAGTGTTTAGGGTTTCGGGTTTAGGGCTTAGGGTTTAGGGTTTAGGGTTTGGGGCTCCGAATCAGCAACTCTGGACCGATAGCGTTCGATTCATGTTGCAGCCGGCGACTGCATTAAACATCGAGGCCTGGATGTTGGAAGTCAAGTTTGGGTATAGTGGTATACTAGCAAGTACATCCTTCCTCCCCCTGCTGCTTTGAGAGGGCTTGTGATATCCTGTCTCTTGCTTTTACTACTGAGTACTTCTTACCAGTAGTTGCTGTTTTTGTTTAGGTTCTGGGCTCCTGAGTGACAAGAAAAGCCAGGGGAGGGGTGTCGGTGTATGTACTTTAGCCCGAACCCGAAACCCAAACCCTAAACCCTAAACCCTGACCCTAAACCCTAAACTCTAGGCCAAACTATGTATTATTGTGGGTACATGGATCCTCTGGCTCCCAGGGAGGAAGAACGTTTGCAGGGGCTCACGGTTTCGGGTTGAGGCTTTGGGGTTCTGGGTGTTTACGTGCTTCAAAGGGCATATGCTGATGGTGCCTGCATCGAATAAATAGGGTTTAAAGGGTTTGCACAGAGAAGGCTTGTTTTTGCCTTCGCCAATCTGACGTGCTCCACACCCTAGGCTCCATGCCCCAACCATAAAACCCTATAAGACCCTTCTTGAACCTTTAGGAACCCTCCCTAGACCCAACGCCAGATCTCAAACCCAATTTCTGTAGCCCCGTGTAATCGCTGTATAATATCATCCCTTAGACGTCCTGACCGTCCTAATTGCGGTTGTACCCCGATGTCCCCCTACACCCTTTTCGAAATATCCCTAAACCCTAAGCTCTAAACCCTAAAAACCCTAAACCCTAAACCCTAAGCTCTAAACCCTAAAAACCCGAAACCCTAAACCCTAAACCCTAAGCTCTGAACCGAATGTTATTCTGGGCAGGCCAAGGAGCGAAGCAAGGAAGCCGGCCACGACGTTCCCACAGAACTTGTGTTCCGTGAGGCATCGAACAGGGTTTAGGCTTCAGGGTTTAGGGTGTAAGGCTTAGGGCTTCGGATTTAAGATTTTTTGAGTTTGGGGCTTAGGGTTGGAGGTCAGGATTTCGGGTTTCGGGATGGTGGGAGTTAGGGGGCTTTGTGGCTTGGAGAGTTTGTCCCGATTTAGGGTTTGGGGGCCAGGATGGGGCTGAGGGCTTTGACCTGGTATGGGCTTGGGGAGACTGGAAAAAGCAGTGTGTTGTTTCAAGGGACAATAGGAGGTACCCCTAGAAGGGACCCCTAATCCAAATACCCTTATATACCTCTTATTTTGTCTCATAAAGCCCCTATATAACCCCAAGGGTCCCTTTAAGGGTCCCTCCTTTAGTCCCTTGGTTGGTGGGCTGGGCGTTTTGACTTGGGGGCCGCTCCTCATCGATATTCGTGTAGTCGGATCCTTCGAGATCTGTGTGGCTGGTGGCCGTACCCCAAGGGTCCATGTACCCAAATAGTAAATAGATTGGCCCTAAAGTACCTATATAGGGACTACATTAAGGCCAAAGTATATACTATTTGGATACATGGACCCTTAGGGGTAGGACGAGGGTCTTGTGGTGGTTGTGAGTGCGCTTGCTGTTCTGTTGCTTGAGATTTGAGAGTTCGGCTACTTACTTGCAAGGCATGACCAGAAACGGAGACAACCTCGAAGGTTTTTGCCCTGGACATTAGATGCCCTGAATCTTGATGCCGGTTCTGTGAGGAGTGAATATATATATATATATACACACATAAGCATGCACACAGGATCTCTTTAAGGGCATGCGGCACTTTTGATGGTGCATTCCTCTTGCTCGTAAGGTCCCGAGTTGTGCTCCTGATTCGGATCACGCCGTTTTGCCTCAAGACCAACTCCTAAACCCTAAATACCAAAATTAAAGTCTAAACCGCCACCCTTAGTCCAAGCGCTGAGGGAAAGGCCCTAAACCCTCCGAAACCCTAGACTCCGAGCCCCACAGGTATCCTCAACCCTAAGCAAATAGGTAGTTCGTTAGATTCTTATGTTTAGCTCCCAAACTAGTACGGCAAACTTATAAACAAAAAGACCCTGGAGGGCACCCTACTTTGGAGAACTGCCCCTGTCGAGGCCAGTCGTGCCGACTTGGTCGCCCAATATCTGGGCCAGACTGCTCCCAAGGCTCATGACGTAGCCCTGAGGGCCTAGGGCACCATACAGTAGGGATCTACACTAGGGTAACCATAGGGTTCTATAATCGGATTCCCTTTGAACCGTGCTATGAGGTTCTATAGCAGGGCTTTAAAGGTACTTTAGGGATCTACAGTAGGGTTCCCTGTAAGGGTTCACGGTTTGTGGGTTTACTAGCAGGTTTAGTTTAGTAGAGGATGAAGTGTTTGGGGTCGAGATGGCCTTTGAAGGGGGGGGGGGACATCGAACTAATCAACAACCCTGAGGGTCCATGCAAGTTTAGGACCTACCGTGCATATATGTATATGTAACCCTACATATAGAATCATACATATATATATATATATATATGTATATAGAAGCCAGGTGGGGTCAAAGTAAACTATATAAAGTACAAGGACACTGGTGGCAGGTGACTGGGCATCGAGGGTAAGCTTCTGGTGTGAGGTTTGAGGCTTTGCAAGCGCTCGAATTTCGGGCTTAGTGGGTTACTATAGTAGCCTCCACCACTGCAAATAACATTTCTCGAGGTTTCCTTGCTGTATCTATGATCTACAGTATAATAAACACCAACACCCTAATCTAATTCTTCAGGGTCCTATATCAGTCGGTTCAACTCTCGGGTTTCCAATCACAAATCAGCCTGAACATGCAGCGATAATCTTCTTTGGGTTCCTGGGTAATTGTTTATATTTATCTGCTGAATTACACTGGTATTGATACGATTCCTTGGGTTCTTGAAGAAAAGTACAGTATACTCCAACACCTGATTCTAGTTATTGAGGCTCTTGTGTTACGTTGAACCCCAAACGCTGATGTCAAACAGTCGTCGCCTCAGCACGGGAATGACAGTTTGATCTTGAGTTCTCGTCGGTGTTGAGTTTCGGTTGTAGGATGCATATGGCTAAGAGTTCAAGGTTTCGTGCTTTAGTGTCGGATTTAGCAACAACCAGTCTTACCTAGCAGCTTCATGCAGATGTGGTTCAGTGGTATAGGATCTTAGCAGCAACCAATCCTGCCCCAACAACCCTACACACGTGGAGTTCAGGACTAAAGGCTGCAGGTGTTAATTGCCCCAACACCCCTTCTAAACGAACCCAAAACTCTAAACCCTTATAAACACTAAACCCTAAAAGCCCTTAAACTCTACACCTCAAGAGGTCGAGAAGGCCGTGGAGAACGCACTGGGTGGTGTTCTCTTCATCGACGAGGCATATGCACTGGTGCGCGAGGGCAAGGACCACCCCTCTCAGCTCGTAGCTCTTGGGTTCCTACATTTCGGCTAACTTTATAACCCTAAAACCCTAAAGCCCTAAACCCTGAAGCCTTGACCGTCAGCTTCGAAACGTAAAGCCCCAAGACTACAGAGCTAAACCGAGGTGTGCATGGACTTATAGTTATAGTATATGCATCGGCCCGAATGCTGCTTTTCAGGCACTCCGTCAAGTCGAACGTCTGTGCCGCACAGATAGCTGGGCCCTTGCGGTATCGCTCGCACGTCCCCGGCTTTCTCGTGCTGGACTGTGTATTTCGTGCGAGTTCTGTCTGCGGCTTGAAGGAAGGACCCCTTCCTTGCTGCCCATGTGTCTTCCACCAACACCAAAAGCCGAAAGCCGCAACCCCAACCCCCGAAAATTGTGAAACCCTTAATCGTTGCAACCTAAGCTCTCAAAATGATCAACACGCCTATGCTTTAGATAAGCGCCCTACCCACGAATGGTGACAACAGGCATAATGATAAGAAGAGCAAGGTCTTTCTATATCCGACTGTACCGCTATGACTGTGCTGAGTGGGATCAACCCTCAACCCCGACTCCAACCCCTACACCGGTAAACCCCCAAACCTGAAACCCTCAACCCTAAACCCTGAACCCCCCAAGCTTGACGGGCCTACCCCAGCCTGTCCTCCCAATGGGTAGTTCTCTAGTTAGGGTCCCTTTTAGGAACCTTTTGATAATGGTGCCGTACTACATCGGAGACCCAAAGAGGGACCCTAATTTAGAGAACTACCCGCCCTAAACCCCAAACCCTAAACCTCAAACCCTAAACCCTAAACGTTAAACCCTAAACCTTAAACCCCGAATGTTGTCGGGCAGGACACCTTTGGCCAGGAAGCAGTGGACACGCTGATCAAGGATTGACGTGTGCAGGGTCTCCCCGAACCCAGGGTTTCGGGTTTAGGGGGAGGGACTGTATCTATGTCTGTACCTCATATATCTTATATGATTATACCTTGCACCTGGTATCTTACATAGTATGGGCTATACCTCGCATTTTGTATGTAATATCTTATAGCTGCTGACCCATGTCATATCTACCTGTTTGTCTCTGCCTGCATCCGATCATAACAAGGATCCGCTTAAACCGTTTGTTGTGCGTTGCCTAATCCCGGACAGTCCATGCGCCCAAACAGTAATACGTTGGCCTTAACGTAGTCCCAATATAGGTACTCTAGGGCCAAAGTATAGACTAGTTCGATACATGGACCCTTACAGGGATAGTTTATTGTATAAATTCCAGAGTTCTGAATTCAGTCCTCAACCCAAAACCCGAAACCGTGGGTGGGCTCCGGGTTGGAGTCTCCGCCGATGAGGCTTCGTGGGGTGCTCGGGGAGAAGGATCTTGGCCCCTCTGCGTTTCTCTGGCTTTCCGGAACCTCTCGAGTTTAGGGTTCAAGCATCCTCCAGGCTAAGTAATAAAGGGGCCTTTTAGGTTTTAGGGTTTAGGCTTTAGGGTTTATGGCTCAGGGGTTTGGGGTTCAGGGTTTAGGGCTTCAGGCTTTTTAGTGGCTAAGGCTTTGGGTTTAGGGCTTATGGTTCATAGGGCTACCCTGTGTGCTCGTAAGGTTCAGGGTTTAGGGCTTCAGACTTTTTAGTGTTTAAGGCTTTGGGTTCAGGGCTTATGGTTCATAGGGCTACCCTGCGTGCTCGTTCAGGAGATGGAAGACAAGCGCAAGAACGTCATTGTCATCCTCGCCGGCTATGAGCCTGTACTTGCAAACGGGGGGGCGGGGGGGAGGGTGGGCGGGGTGATCTTCCCTCCTCCGTTCGTAGCGGGGGCCCTCTCGACTCAGAAATCCCTACCACAAGCCCTGAACCCTAAAACCTAAACCCTTAAACCCTAAACCCCGAAATCTCCAAACCCTTAAACCCCAATACCACAAACCCTGAACCCTCAAGCCCGAACCCTAAACGTCCCAATGGCTCTGGTGTTTCGGTATTGCTCTTGGCCCCCCTTAGCCCTCAACCCAAAAGCCCTTATCTCTCAGGGTCTTCGGGTTTAGAGGTTTGAGCTGTTGGCGTTTCAGGATGTGGGTCTTGGCATAGTCTGCTTCAGCCGGTGGGATGCTTGTGATCGTGCAACGGCACCGGAATGTTCATTCTCACTAAACTAAACAAAGCTTCAACCCTAAACCCTTGTAAAGCCCTTTGTAGGAATCCTCTATGGAACCCTTAAGTTTACATGAGGGAACCGACTTCACTCCTACAAAAAAGCTGAAGAGCACTCTGCCCCCGAAACTCCTCTAGAACCTTCAAGGAAACCTTCGATAGCCCTAAACCCTAAACCCTAAATCTTTAGAAGAACCCTAACATGAGCCCTAAACTACATCCGGAAGAAAGACCCTAAACCCTAAACCCAACCCCTAAACTCTAAACCCTAAACCCAAAGTCCCTCAAGGAGTCGGAGATGGACACCTTCTTCGATTCGAATCCGGGTTTCAAGTCCCGCGTTCCCTTCAGCTTCCGCTTCGAGGTGAGGTTCAGGGATTTAGGGTTTCGGGCTTTGGGTTTAGGTGTTTAATGTTTAGGGTTTAGGGGGAGGTTCAGTTCAGGGATTTAGGGTTTAGGGTGTTTAGGGTTGAACATGGTTTTGTAGTGAGTTTATAGGGTTCATCATCTAAGAGACCATGGACCAACTTCTCTGTTCGTTTGTTTGTTTGTTGTGTTGTTTTTATTTTGTTTGTTGTGTGTGTGTGTGTGTCTTTGTCTCTGTGTATGTGTGTCTCGGGTCAACCCTAAACACTCAACCCAAAACCGAGATACGATGTTTGATCACTACGCGGTTAGTCAAAGCCAAGTTCGACGTTTCTTGCGAAGTCATGGTCAAGTGCCGGATGCTTCGGGCTCAGTTTGTCTAGTTTGGGGTGCAGGGTTCAGGGTTTGGAGTTTGGGTTTTAGGGCCTTTATCACAAACTATCTGAAAGAAAGGCCCCTGAATGATCTGCCGAATTAATACGGACCCTAAACCCTAAACCCCTAAACCCCTAAACCCCTAAACCCCTAAACCCCAACCCCTAAACCTGAAACCCTAAACCCTAAACCCCAAACCCTGAACCCCTAAACCCCCAAACCCTAAACCCCTAAAGCCCCAAACCACGTTATGGTTTAGGGTTCAGGGTAGTGTATATTTCTTCTACTCATTTAGGCCCAGAAATCCTACAATCCACAACCCCTGACTTT